TATTATTTGATATTGAGAATAATTATGGTAGTATCGTTGATACCTGTGAACTAAGTGATGATTTTAATCAGTCGGATATACGTGAAACTCAAAAAGACATATTAACAGTTGTTGAGGAACTATCTTATTTGGATGTATTGGAAGATAAATTTGACTAGTTAGAAACTTATAATGAAAGATTACAAGTAACAGACATAGAATTATCTTGCTTAAATAAACCACCAGAAGTCGAGGAAAATAGTGATGATAAAAATACTGAGGAATCAGGATCTTTATATCCAGTTGTATAGAGAATAGACTTTAAGTGTTGGAAGCAACTCAATGAGTAACTATGAACTATAAAATTAAATAATTGTGTTATTATTAACGTAATAATTGGTAACTTTTTTTTTTTTAAGACATCTTGACAATCATGGCTTGGAATACGGCTTTGCTTTTACAATTATACACAGTGAAAAAGATAAAGAAGATGGACTTTCCCAACAATGTGTTTATGCATATATGAAAGGTTAAGTGCATATTTTACGAAAAGAAGCTCATATAATTGAAGGCCATAACAAAGAACATCATACAGAAAATTGTAAATTCCATGTAAATATATATTGCCGGAAGGTAGACAATTTGGTCTATATTACTAAGGTTGATGATCAACATAATTATGAGCTTGTTGAGAATATTGACATGGTTGCTTCTCATTACCATAAACTTTCTCTGAAAATTTGTGATAAAGTAAAAATCCTCACAGCTTCTGAAGTACATACTGGAGCTATTATTGAAGTTCTACAGCATAAAAACCCAACAAAGTATATCCATACTCATAATGTTTATAATCTGGTTCAGGCTATTAAACATGAAAAAAGAGTTACTAGTGATGCTAGTTCTATGTATATTGAGCTTATGAAGCAAAAGCAAGATAATCCAATGCTCCATGTAGATGCATGCTTTGAAGGCAAAAACAACTACCTTGTAAGTCTCTGCTAGATAAGGCCAAGCTAACAACAATTATGGGCTCATTTCTCTGATGTAATATTACTTGACACAATAGCTAAAACAAACAGATATTTAATAATTTTGTGTATTGTTATTTTGATTGATAATCATAATTGATCATGACTAGAAGCTACTGCACTATTGTCTGACGAAACTAAGGATACATTTTTTTGGCTTTTTGGAAGCTTTAAAAAAGCAACAAGTGAATTAATTTTATTTCTACTTTATACAGATACTGATCCCGCAATGATAGCAGCAGCAAAAATTATCTGGTCATCAACAAAACACCATTTCTGTCTTTTTTACATTCATAAAAATTTAGAAAAATATTTTTTTAGTACGTTTTATAGTGAAAAATGGCAAAAATTTTTTGCAACTTTTTGTTTCATGCATAATAGCCATGTTGAGAGAATTTTTAATGAGAGGTGGGCCACATTAGTGTAGGAATATACTGAAGAAGCTGATTACTTGCAGCATCAGCTATATCTATATAGAGAAGCATGGGCTCTATGCTTTACGCATTGTGCTTTTAACGAGTTCAAAGCACACAACGCGTTGAAGCCTACAATACAGCAATAGTATAATTAAAAGTAATGTAAATGGAACATCATCTCTTCTAGAACTTGATCATACTATTGAAAGGTTATTAATAAAGGAAAGTCAGTTCGTAAATTTAAATAATGCCATTAGCAAGTTTTCAATAAGCTGAGAAGAAGGATATCATGATCGATATTTTAAAAAAATTAATAGAATGTGTTAACATTTTTTAATACCAGGATCATAAAACTTTAACAAAATGAGATGAACCGCAGTATACATTACCGATGCAGCATAATTAGTTTAAATAAAGAAGCTATACAGCAGGTCAATATTAATATTAAAAAATTGTAATTAAAATATAAGAAATACTTATCTTTTTTTTTTTAGACTACCAATACTGAATTACCTGATAATATGTTCTCTGAAACCCTTTTTAATATGAGCCTGATTGAGCTTGAAGATTTAATTGTTGAAATTGGACTACCCAGAATTCATGAAATTTGAAACGTTTATTCTATAGACAAAAAATCAAAAAATTTTATTGTTTTGTATGACAATGCTACACATCTTTGTACATGTTTAACACTTATTAATCGTGGTCTTGTGTGTCATCATTTTTTCTCAACTATGCTTGTTTCAGCAAGGGCAAAGTTCCATATTGGTTTTATTTCTCAACATTGGCATACTAATTTAACAGTAGATTCAACACTTGCAAACGAACCTACAATTGTATCAATTTAAATAAGGATTACAGTACATTAGAAAACAATGAACAAATCAAATTTTCATATCTGGAAAGTCTTCATGGACAACATGTTTTTACACAAGAAGCTTATCATAAATTTACGCTTAAACAGCAATGGAGAAAAGGATTCAGAATAATGAAAAAAGCACTTAACTTAGCTATTTCTATAGGCAAATTAGAAGAGCTTTACGAAATGCATTCGAGACTTGTTAATGAAATGAAAATGAAATTGCAAAAAATGAGGGTCAAGCAATAAAACAAGATGTTGATTTAAGTGAATTTGCACATATTATCAGTAACCTGATTGGTCAAAATGAAAGGATGAAAATTAAAGAGGAAAAAAGCTTTCAATGATATTACGAATGTTAAAGGTCAAAGAAAG